CGTACATGTGAACGCCAAAAAGTTATATTGCTAATATTTTGTGTTTATATGATAAAACAATGCCTAAGTGTGTTTTTAAAAAGTGCTCAAATTGCTCTAGAACTAAAAATAAAACCCACGGCATCACTTTTCATTCGTAAGTACTATAAAATATATTTTTTCATAAAAATTGCTGTTTGTATTGAATCTTATTCGGTAGTGACGTCGAGTACTGGTCGCGTGATTGGTCGGTAGTGCAGTGACGCGGATCTCGCCGTCTCGTTCGCGCTGCTGTTGAAACTTAACGTGCCGTTTCGTTCTGGTCGGTAATGCAGTGACGCGGTTCTCGCCGTCCCGTTCGCGCTGCCTTGGGATCAGTTTTTGTTTGATGCAAGTATGAGCGTACCGTATCTACCCTTTTTGTTTTAATCTAAGTATCTATCCCCTACACGAATGAGGAACAATTATTAATAGACCAAGAACAACCTAGATAGAACAACAACGATTTTGAGAGAACAATATTTTAGTCACTTCACCGTTGAACCATTACAATGAAAGTAAAGAGACGGCCGGCAAAGCAACTAATTCCATCAATAAATAAATATTTCCAACATTCACACCAATTAGCCTAGCCCCATAGTAAGCACTGTAAGGCTTGTGTTATGAGATGCTAGGGTAATGGATAGAATACATGAACTGTACATATATAAGTATATTTCTATGTAACATTCTATGGTCGTTCTTTAGTCGTCCAAGCTTGTCGCCTGTGGAATTCTCTTCCAGTAACCATAAGACGAGCACAATCTATTAATATTTCCAAAAATCTTGTTTTCAACTATTATTAATCGATGTAACTGCATTATTATTTTTATTTATTTTTTCTGACTGGACTAAACTCATGTATGTGTCATATATTTATATTATATGTATATATCTTCTAGTTATATTATGTGTATATATTATGTATGTATGGTATGTATATATATTTATTTTACAGTCATTAGATTTTAACGGACACCTTTGTAATATTTATTTTAAAAAGGACTTTTAATTTTACCGGTTTGAAAAACATACGAATCATTTTTAATGGCTATGGGTGTAGTAACATTCAGCCAAAGACTGATCGAAGTTGTTTATATAACATAAAATCAAAACTATTTTGTAAAAATCGATAAAATAAAACATTTTTTTATTACAATGTGGTATTAATATCCACAACTATATTATCATTTTCACTACATGCAAATGTGCTACGACAATTATTATAGTTGGTTGGCGACATCATAAAGTCTTAAATTTTCGCCAAACACCTCCATAAACACATTATAAGGTGTGATACACTAAAAACCTAAAATATGGTTATAATGTAAACATAAAAAAAAATAATGAAGCTACTGAAGATATGGCTGTATAACCTAAATCTCTTAGGTTTCTTTGGTTAACGAGAATTTAAAAATTCTCTCTAATCTGTGGCTCATTCACAATCATCACACAGTTTCTGTCACAGAGTACCTTCCTTAATATAATCGGAAATGCATATATATTGGTGTCGATTCTAGCATGATTCTCTTAACCTAAACTTAAATTTGACAGCAGTATATCCTTGTCATTCTCTATACAGAATGAAAAGGAGAGACTGATGTTAAATTTAGTTTTAAGTTTAGAGAATCACGCCAGAATCGACACCAATACCTGATTTTAAAAGTTACTCTTGTGCATTAACTTTAAAAACAGGCAACTATCAGTTAATCTACTGAATCTAATACATAATTTCGGTACTTGGCTTGATTTCCCCAGTTTACTATATAACTTATTCGTTTTTTATTATTTTAATACCTATGCACCTATTTGCAAACATAACCTCAAAATCATTCAGTGTATATAGAAGGGTTTATAGAAGTTCTCAGGGGTGCCCGTCAATAATTTGGTCTTTAGGCCAAAGATGTATGGAAGCTGAGCAACTCCTTTGTAAAGCTTTGAAACAAATACATCGCGTTAAATATCTTCAAATGATCTGAAATGCTAGTTATACGACTTATATTTTGGGACAGAGGAGATCATTCTTGATTTTTTTTCCATATAATATGCTCAATACATTAGTCACACATAGCATTAGTCTATTAATATCCCCCCTGAAGGGGCACAGCACAGGCTTCGACAGGAGCTCGAGATAATAAGTTTTTTTTGTCACCCATCAAATTACCGACCATTTCCAAAGTTGCTTAACCTCCGCGAACGCAAGCCGAACGCGCTAACCACCTGGGCTATCGAGCTCCGTATGTACGAACTCAATACGTATGCCATCAAAAACATAATTTGTAAAAAAAACAAGTCAATCGCATGAAAACACAATGTATCTCTCATATTATATTAAATTAGATTGTTGAGTGCGATTGCAGTCATTTTTTTTATTCAAAACATACAAGATTTTCAATATTGATATGGTCAGTATAAGATGTTGTTAGGTGAGCTAATTTCGTAATAACTCAAGACAAATGACACATGATAAAATTATTGACTTCTTAAACCACTGAGGAAAACATAATCAGTAAAACAAATAACTTAAATTCACTGAAGTATATTAATTCGCTATCCCCATTACATTAAACGAAGAATGAATAAGCTTGGGTCAGTTACGCAGTGTTTTGTGACAATATGCTGCCTTTGCTTTTATTAATGGTGTAAAAGCAATTAAATATAGGCAGTGTATCCGATAAAAGGCAGCAAAATCAGTTGGAAAGATTTTTTGCACAGCCATATAATTTGTAAAACAAATCTTTGAATTTTGTGCATAAAAATAATATGTATTAAAACTATAAAATAAGCTTTCAAATAGTTATTTATCAATGAAACATTTTGTTTTCATTATAAACAAACATTATGTTCATTCATCAAGAACTGTTCATTCAAATATCGTGCATCCTTTTAATGTCGCATCCCTAATTTTGTGCATAGTTACATAAAAATTGTTAGCATGTGTGCGTTTTTTTGTTTGTGTGACGTAATTTTTGAAGTGTGCGTTTATAGCAACAACACGCTCGTGTTTGTGGGAGTATTGCATATTTTAATACGTGTGTACCCCGTCCCGCACCAAAAATGGTGAAAAATTTTGTTCGGCGAGTGAACGCTATGGCGTCTCCAGTTGTAAATGCTCTAAGTTAAAAATACGCTAATCCGGTCAAGTCGACTTAACAACTATATTGTAGTGGTGACTACCTCACAGAAGCTTATATCGAGAAAGCTGAAGCTGAAAACACTCCAAGAAACATCAGAATGTTTCATACCCACATCATAATGTAAAAAAAGAGGATTCATAAAACTGAAGACTAGGCTGTATGGGCATTGTTACCTTTGCCTTCCCTGAAAAGGAAAAACTTTAAAAAAAATACGTTTTAATGCCGGCACTTCATATGGTATTTCCGATTTGTAAACTTGAAAAAATCTCTCCTATCTACACCCTATAGAGTATGATAAGAACAGCCAGCTGCCAAAAAGGCAATACTGGTGTCGATTCTCTAAACTTTTAACTAAATTTAACATCAGTCTCTCCTTTTCATTTTGTATAGAGAATGACAAGGATAGACTGTTGTCAAATTTAAGTTTAGGTTTAGAGAATCATGTCGTAATCGATACCACTATCAAATACTCCAGAATAGCCAGTAATGCTAACTTGACTATTCGTTGTTCGCATTTGTAAAGACATAGGTCTGTCCTTTTCACTCCGTGTCAGTCAAGCGTTTTAAGGACAGAAGAGTTGCACCGGAAACATAGATACGAAACGCAACCACCAGTTCTATTATTAGCACCTACCTACTATTATGACTTTTAGAGGTCAGCTGATGTTTATTCAAAAGTTAAAATCAAAAGCCCAATTCTGCAGTTAATCAACTAGTTTTTAGGCCAAAAATAATACTTACTTAATATTTTAATACTTATCAATGTTATTATTAGTTAAAATAAACAGATTAAGTAACGTAACGAAAGTATACAATAATATAAAACGTAACAAAATGAACCAAAGTGATATGATTCAATTTGTTAAAAAATGTATTCCAGCACTTGATAATAACAAACACAAAGGACAAGCTGGCCGAATAGGTGTTATCGGCGGATCAATGGAGTACACAGGAGCTCCATATTTTTCCGGAATTAGTGCATTGAAAGTAAGTTACTTACATGAGAAACAAAAAAACTATATGTTAAAAACATAGCCTAACATTTTGTTGAATTACTTTTTAGGTTGGGGCTGATTTAGTACATGTCTTCTGCACTTCTTCAGCATCTACTGTAATCAAGTCTTACAGTCCAGAACTTATAGTACATCCATTATTGGATAAAGATAATGCTGCAGTGTCCATATCACCCTGGCTAGATCGATTACATGCTGTAGTGATTGGGCCTGGTTTGGGCAGAGAACCTGATATATTTGACGTTGTGTCTGAGCTGATCAAAATAATTGAACATAAAAAAATTCCTTTAGTCATTGATGCAGACGGGCTTTTCCTGATTTCAAGAAACCCAGATTTGATAAAAACATTTTCATCCCCTGTAATATTAACACCGAATAAAATAGAATTTGAAAGGCTAAATAATAGCCTTAGTGTATTTTGTCAGATAGGGAGCAATATAGTTATATTTAAAAAGGGTAGTGCTGATGAAGTTATTAGTTCAGACCTAGATATTCAATGGAAATTAAATTTAGGTGGCTCTGGACGAAGATGTGGTGGTCAAGGAGATCTTTTATCTGGTTCAATAGCAACATTCCTGAATTGGACATTGGAAAATATTAATGCAATTGAAATCAAAACAGATCATAAGGACTTAGTGGCCGCTTCATTATCCTGCTATGCTGCATCTGCTTTAGTGAGAAGATGTAATGAAAAAGCATTTAAAACTAAAGGTCGAAGCATGTTAGCTTCAGACATGGTTGAGTTTATTCATGAGTCATTTGAAGAACTTTTTGGGAATTAATTAGAATCACTAGGTTTATGTTATACTTACAAAGTGAAATAAAAATTTACCTTAGCATCTAAAATTGGATCATCAAAAAATCCTTCTGGAATGGGCTGCTCAGCAGTTACCTCTGGTGTAGGTTCTTCTTCTTCTTTATCTAAAAAGCACAGTAAAATATACCAAAATAAGTACAGAAATACTCCTACTTTATATAAACCCTCCACAATGAGAAGACAAATGTAAAACAATATTGTAAGGTTTGCACAGGTTAGTAGAAAATAAAAAAATATTGGGAAACTTGGTTTCATACAAATTTATACATTTATTGTATTTTTTCCTGCATTATTTGCCAGCTTTTGTATAGGTTTATTTATAATATCTGAATGCTGAGAAAATTACTCCTTAAAAAGAAAATTCTTTAGTGACGCAAGTTAAATTTGTTTCATTTTTGATTTACTGTTCTTAAAAACAACTATCTAGTAAAATAAAGATATCAATGAGTCTATTAAAAAATTATCAGCCATGAAATGTATTTTTAAAGTATCATGCTTCAAATAAACTGATTACATTTATACTTTAGTGTGTGTGTGTGTTTATAATAATTGTTATGTATTTAATAAAAGTAGCAAGGTGACAAAAGAACCATCTGGTACAATGTAACATTGAAAATAATATAAACATGCTGTCATGTCAAAATATTTTCCTAATTTCAAAAAACCCAGATTAAACAATCAATGCTATAAAGGGGGTAGCGGGTTAAGGGGGGTCTGGCGGCCCCCACCGAATCTGGTAAAATCGTTCCAAAAATCTTGAAGAGGGTCGAAAAACAAGCAGTATAAGCTTTTTACCGACATTACAACCCCAAACGAAAACAGTAATGGCGAAAAATATGATTTTTTGTGATTTTTATTTTTTTCAACCAGTTTAATTTATTTTTAAATGGTTTAAATGCAATTAAAAATTTGTGTTTGATGTGTGGAAGTCCCCTGTATTTTTCCAGATTTTTTGGTCAAGTAAAAACATGTGAATTTTAGGTTTAAATGCGAAAAAGTCGTGAAAAACGCGTCATATTCAAGATTCAACCCTCTCATTTTTAAGGTTGTTTTCATTTTCCCGAGGGGTGCTGTATAGTATAGATAGCGGCAATCGCCCTCTTACGAATGCAGGCAATTGGACTCAATTTGGTCAAATCTGGTGAGCGGGGCGATTTTTTGAAAAAAACTCGAATTTTCAACTTTCGGTAAATTACGGCGCGTACTTGGTATAATGCGTCTTTGCTATAAAAAATACATCTCTATAGGGGTTTTTGAGGTCCCTGATAACGAATTTGATGTCAAAAAAAATTTTTAAACTAAAAAATAGAACAGTTAATTGAGAGAAATTAAAAAAATCTTTCATTAATATTTTTACATTATCAAACCTGTGTTAATAAATATTTATGGGTGAATTTGTTGTCAAAAATTTTTTTTTACATCAAATTCGTGATCAGCGACCTCAAAAACCCCTATAGAGATGTATTTTTTATAGCAAAGACGCATTATACCAAGTACGCGCCGTAATTTACCGAAAGTTGAAAATTCGAGTTTTTTTCAAAAAATCGCCCCGCTCACCAGATTTGACCAAATTGAGTCCAATTGCCTGCATTCGTAAGAGGGCGATTGCCGCTATCTATACTATACAGCACCCCTCGGGAAAATGAAAACAACCTTAAAAATGAGAGGGTTGAATCTTGAATATGACGCGTTTTTCACGACTTTTTCGCATTTAAACCTAAAATTCACATGTTTTTACTTGACCAAAAAATCTGGAAAAATACAGGGGACTTCCACACATCAAACACAAATTTTTAATTGCATTTAAACCATTTAAAAATAAATTAAACTGGTTGAAAAAAATAAAAATCACAAAAAATCATATTTTTCGCCATTACTGTTTTCGTTTGGGGTTGTAATGTCGGTAAAAAGCTTATACTGCTTGTTTTTCGACCCTCTTCAAGATTTTTGGAACGATTTTACCAGATTCGGTGGGGGCCGCCAGACCCCCCTTAACCCGCTACCCCCTTTTATTTAATAACAGGTTTTTTTTTCTTAAGTATTGAACTGCTAGATGTTTCAATGTTAAGAAAATTTTACTACAAAAAATTCCAGGCAGTCCAGGAAGTAGACGGGACTCGAACCTCACCCTCCTCTATCAGGGCGGATGCACTGACTTATTAAGCTACAGCAACCTTAATAACCGTGTCAAATTTTATCTAGTAATTCTTAGGCTGCAAGGCAGCGCTATCTCTTCGCATTGTAGATAACCCACTATAGTCAAATGAAATACCTTTGCAAATATTAAACATTTGAAAGAAGAATGATAAGTCCTTATATATACACAAGAGATGAAAGCATTAGTAAAAAGAGGACACATCTGCAGGTGCTGCACCGTGTGGTGGTGGTGGTGGTGCACCATAAATATGTCGCATTTGGAAATAATGGTTATTTATGTTTTACTACCAACAAAGGATATTTTGAAGAGTATTGTTGCATTCTTCTCATCTCCTTTCCCCAGAATGGCAAACAATAAATTTATTATAACAATAATTAAATTATATAGAATGAATGATAACATTTTAAGTAGACAACAATAAAAATGCATAGTGTGAAATTCCTTCTTACCTTTTGCTATAGAATTAAGAATATTAATATTTAATGGTGCTCTTTTTATTTCCTCATTGTGGGAAGTTATAATTTGTGGGGACTTGAGATCAACATTATGATGAGAAGGGGGAGCTTGACTTGCATTTTTTAAAATTCCTTTAATTTTTTTTCCCTCGGGAGCATCTGTGGGTTCCCCTAGTTTATGTTTCAATTTCCCAGTAGTGAAGTTGTTAGTTTTCTCCTTTAGTTTTTTAGCATTTTCAATATTTTCCCTATGTTGTTTGCTATTTACATGAACAGTCCAAACTTGTTCAGATCGCACTACAGAGGAACACAGTACACAAGTTAATTGCCCTGCATTGTTGTACTTTGCGAGAGGATTATTAATTTTAACCTGTTTTATGTCCTTATTTCGACGTTCAGCCATAAGGCGTCGCATTTCATCTTGCGCTCTTTTCTTATCCCTTTGAAGATGCAAAGAAGACATTTTTATTTTCCAATTAAATATCTACAGAAGTGTTGTAAACAGATACCTAGGTTGCTTTTTAACCCGAAGAAGGGTTAGGACTTTTAAGTACAAAAACTAGACACAGAAAATGAAATTAGTTTCCTTCAACATGTGTTTGTATTTAATGAAGTTTTTTAACTGTGCCACCTTCTCATTGCATTATCTACTCTGTTAGGATTGGATTTAGTTTTGATTTCTTTTGTGACGGTTTCTTTCGCAAAATTTTATAATAGTTCTCTTTCATTCAGTTTCAGCTTCCTCCTTCCAGAATAGCACAGATTAGGTATAAAATAAGAAAAAAAAACTTGTGTTTTTTTTAGTTCCATTCTTCCCTATTGGGAAAGGCAAAGACAAAGCCATGCAGCCATCGTCTTATTTTTGCTTTTATATTAGAATGTCGATGTGACGCATTCTAATGTTTCTTGGAGTGTTTGGCACGAAATATATCGAGTCAGCTTTCTCGATAAGCTTCTGTGTGGTAGTCAACACTACAATAAAGTTCTCACATCCACTTGACTGATATAGCCAAAGATTCCGTTAATTCTTCAGTTGCGCAGACGATTTTAACACAAAATCACACCAATTTTTTTTCACAATATACACTATGAAAGAATTTAAAATATGGCGCCAACCGCACTCGATGAAATCCCGCCAAAACCTCATATTTTGTGTCTATTCATATGTCTGTGTGTCTATTGTAGTTACGTACCAAAGCCTACACTCCGTATACTCCGGATAAGAGGATTAGAAGGGTACAGGAAGAATGAGTTACCAATTTTCAAAAGGATGACCACATCTTAGCCAAACATTGAAACTTTTAATAAGATAATAATTGCAACCTATTATAATAATAATAATAATTTATTGCATATCACAAGTGTGTACATGGTATTTGGGGTACAAAAGGTTTTATAACATGTGACGCCCTGCAAGGGCATAGCAATTTTATGGTAGCATGCAATGTAAAAAAATATTTTTAATTGTAGATTAATGATTAGATTAATTCAAACAAAAAAATTCACATGTCAAAACCTATTATAATAATAATAATAATTTATTGCATATCACAAGTGTGTACATGGTATTTGGGGTACAAAAGGTTTTATAACATGTGACGCCCTGCAATGGCATAGCAATTTTATGGTAGCATGCAATGTAAAAAAATATTTTTAATTGTAGATTAATGATTAGATTAATTCAAACAAAAAAAATCACATGTCAAATATTAAATTAAAATTTCATTTCATTAAAATAAATTTCGTAAATAACAAGTCGATATAAAAGTAAATTTAAAATGTCGATCATTATAATACTAAAATTTAATTTCATTAAAAAAAATATATATAAAATTAAATAGTACATAATAAAAATAATATTAACATCAAAATTAAATGTCTTTTACATATTATATTAAAAATCTAAATATATTTATCTTTAAAGTATTCGTCTAGACTGTAAAAACATTTTTCACTTAGAAACTTCTTTAAACATCCATTAAATTGTTTAGTTTCCTGTATCTGCCTAATCCTATTGGGTATATGGTTATATATCTTGATTGTCATTGCATGGGGACTTGTCGCACCAATTTTCAAGTTATACAGATCCATTTTTTTTTGTTTTCATCTCGGTTATTTCTCTTTTCCTTTTTAGATATTACAGTGGAGAATAAATATTCATATTTCCTTACAAACTTGCATGATTCAAGGATGTAAATTTATGTTAATGTCAGAATTGAATATTTTTTTAAATGAGGCTTACAGGATTCTTTTTGCCCTATATTTGTTAAAATTCTAATACATTTTTTCTGTAAAATGAAAACGTTTTCTATGTCAGTACAATTTCCCCACAAGATAATTCCGTAGGATAATCTTGAATGGACATATGCGTAATAGGCAGTCAAAGCCGTCTTAAAATCACTTTCTTTTTTTATATTATTAAGTGCATATGTAAAAGAGGATAGTCTACCTGACAGTCTCTGTATATGTGGTTTCCAATTTATATTATTATCTATATCAATTCCCAATAATGTTGCTGAATTAACCTTTTCTAATACAGTGTTTGCATATCTATACTTTATGTTTAGGGTCGTTTTTTGGTATGGTTTGAATTCAATTAATTTTGACTTTTTTAAATTGAGTTCGAGAGAGTTTTGTTCTAGCCAATTCATTATTTTACCCAAAGTTTCGTCCAGCACAATGTTCATTTCAGATATATTTGAGCAAGGAAATAAGACCGAAATGTCATCGGCGAAGAGAATACTTTGGGTCTCTATTTGGTTAGGTAGGTTATTTATGTAGACCAAAAATAAAAAACATCCCAAGACACTACCCTGCGGGATAGAGCCCGTAACAGTAAGCTCTCTGGATCTAATATTTTCTATTCGACCTGAATTTGTATCGATACTCTCAATTTCCACAAACTGTAAACGGTTCCTCAGATAAGACCTGAACCAATCATGTGCCGTCCCCCTTACTCCAGTCTCATATAATTTAGAAAGTAGGATATCGTGGTTAACCCTATCATATGCTTTGCTCATATCAAGCAATAGCCTTATTGCGTATTTATGTTGGTCTATGATATCTATAACACTTTTCATATACTTATATATGGCCAATATAGTAGAATGCTTTTTCCTAAAGCCGTGCTGGTGTGAAAGATGTGGTACTTTTCATAGAAAGAGTAGAGACGCCGTACCATTGCAGTTTCGATTATTTTAGATGAAGTTGGTAATAACGAAATAGGACGGTAGTTGTTTAAGTCATATTTATCTCCCTTTTTATGAATAGGCTTTATGACTGCAATCTTCAATGCATCTGGGAATATTCCCTCTTCAAATGACTGATTAATGAGATTGCAAAACGGAACAGCTAGCTCATTGGCACATTCTTTTATCAATGTAGGAGGGAGTTCACCAAAACCAAAGCTTTTTTAATTTTTAAGATTTTTAATGATTTTATACACTTCTCTAGGTTGAATTGGCTGTAAGTAAAATGTGTTATTTATAATGTTACGTTTAGTAAATAAGTTGATGTTGCCATTAATTTTGGAGTTACTTATATTGGAGAAAAAATCATTAAATGCATTATTATTATTTTTATAATATATATTGTTAAATGCATTATTATTATTATTAATTTTGATAACGCAATTGTTGTTTAAAAGCTGTGGATGAAAAACTCATCTGTTACATCACTTCATCACAACGCATCAAAGTGGTCTATTTAATATCCACAACAATTATTTTTCCAAATGTTAATTTCCAAATATGGTAGGTACAGTTGATGTTGTCCTTGCTTTATTTTAAATCATGGTCATGTCTTTGCTATACTTATCAACTTTGCTGCGATTTCGCCCGCCGCACCTTATTATTTTCTAGTTGTGTGCGGTGCACGCAAGGCATTGCAAATATTCGGTTTAGATAGAACATAAAGCTAATACTACCAATCATTACAAAATCTAATCCAAATATGTCTGTCTCTGTTTTATAATTAAGAAGTTACATAATTACCTATTTTTGAAATGCAATTTAGCTTCATAGAGATGTAAATAATGACCGTTTAATATAAATTTTAAATTGACCATTGACAATTAAAGTCTATCGGGGTTTGTCAACTTTAGCTTAGTCTTTGGTGTTTCGGTTGAAGAAGATACCAATTTTTTAGATTTTGAACCCAATCGTACATTGTTTTTGCACTTATTTCATTTATGTAGAAGCCGTTTCATATTGGTTGATTTATTTTCATAAAAAGTGGTAATTAAATGAATTAAAAGATTCCTACAACGGAAATTTGCACTTTGCATATTTGTGATCAAGTGTCCCGTGTTTATTCCTCATGCTGTGATATTTCGACATCAGTTCTGTTCTACAATGGACATCGACGTTAGTAAAGAGAATATTCAGCCGTTGAGAGGCGGTAGAAACCTCGTACAACTGGGAGCAGCTCTTCAAGCGCAATCAGATGTTGATGCTCAAAAACAGCTGCAACAGCAAAAAGAGTAAGTTTTTCCATGATGTAAACTCTTCTTCTCTAATTCCTAGTCGGCACTTCTTTGATAATTGCTAGAATTCTGTAAATAGTGAGTGGTTATTATTGTCAAAGCAATAGTTTTCCAAAATACTGGTTAATTATTTACAGAGAACATGAAGCAGCTATTAGACACTACCAGGGTCCTGACCCTCTTGATCCATGGTTTAACTATATTCAATGGGTAGAACAATCTTTCCCTAAACATGGCCATGAAGGCAATATTGATAAGCTTATAAAAGACTGTTTGCAGTTATTTGAGAAAGATGAGAAATATTTTCAAGATAGAAGACTTGTGAAGTTGTGGATCAAATATGTAAGTGATTAATGCTTTACATTTACTTAATTGAGAGACTGCTATAAAATTTTTCATTATGATAAGTACTTTCTTTTCATTAAAGTTTAATAATTGTTTAAATTTTAGGTTGATTGTCTATCTAATCCCTTGGAGATATATCAAAGATTGTATAATACTGGCATAGGTGTAGAATGTTCAGAATTTTATAGAGCATGGGCTTGTTATTGTGAAGAATCAGGTGATTATAAAAAAGCAAACCAGGTTTATATGCTTGGACTTCAAGCTAAAGCTCAGCCTATAGATGAGTTGGAACAGGCACACATGTAAGTATTTTTGTTCCATATATAATATTTGTCTTAGGCTTCATATACTAGCCTCAGCTGTCTCCACCTTTTGGCGGCAGCTGTCGATCCACTGAGAATTACTGTCGATGTGGTGATGGCTGCAGTTGTGATTCTATTGGCTGTGAGCCACTCGATACATGAAGCCTAATAGTGTGTAGCTGTATCATGTAGAAATATAATTACATGCAGAAAAACTTGAGCATGTCAAATTAAGGTAACTTAAGTTAATTAACATACCTTAACATGCTTCAGTTTTTATAATGATCCATTCTTTTTACTACTCAGATTGGCTACTCTAGATGTTCGATCCTATATAAAGGGCTTCGATATGGTGGGAGTACTTCAACTTCCCTTATGTTATTCTGCCATGCTTGAGTGAAACCCAAAATCCCTGCTTGGGGTTCCCTACTATAAAAATTGCTGCTTTATTTTAACACAACTTATTTTATGAGTGGATTTCACAAAAGCTTAGACTATTAAAAAAAATAGTACTACTACTATCCTTTAAAAGACCTGAAGTATTATAGTTCATATTCACGGCAGCCTGTAAAACAGAGTTGGGTTGTACAGCGGTGCACACACCCACGCCTAGCACGCAGTTTGAGGTTCAGTTCTGCAGCATAAGCAGACTCCCCTATAAACACACCACTAACCTCAATTGCTGTCCACCACCAGCTTGAGACAGCATGGCCAGCATTATTGCTTCTGATGGAGACACAAATAGTTCCGCCTGCTGGCACAGGCTACCTCAACTATTCCGGCTATGTGCTTGAAGCATCCTTCAAAGCGAAAGCCGGCGTATGCTTGTATGTTCGGGCGGATATTGTCGCCGTTTGAGCTGCATGGAAAACCCCTCCTTCTCCATGTTAGCGTCTTCTTCTCTATAGATCCCACACCGGCGATGCTGAGACAACTCGATTCTGAACACCTTAGTCAGGCAGCAGATATCAGATACCCTGACAAGGTGTCACATGGCAAAACCTCGTGACGATTGGTGGTCAAACGCAAAGAATGGTACTATGGGTCGGCAGACTGGTATGGTATGCGCGACTACTTTGCATCTGTCCCTTGAAAGCCTCCTGCTGCTTCCATGACAGGGACTTATCGGCCAGCGCCGTTGCTGGAACTGAGAAGAGAGTATTATATTCCACATTTTGATCTCATCAGTAAGGGCACACGAAACTGCTGGTTTAATCGCGACTGTGCTGATGATGTTTCGCGTAAGCAGGCGGCATATCGCGTTTGGATCAGAGGCGCTCTCAAGGATCCCGGGGTTGACTCGCTGAAAGCTGCCTATTATAGTGCTTCCAAGTCCTGCAAGAAGGCTTACATCAGAGCGGATGAGCATCGTGTTCCACGTACTGGCCACGAATTGTAAAAAAATAACATATTGTAGATCTTTCATCCAATGTCACTATTTCTGACCCCCTGAACTTAGAATGAAAATTTATATTTACTTATTATATATAAGGTTGTTTTTGATTAATTATGATTATTTTACATGATTTTTGATTTCAACATTTTTGCATATTGCTTATATATTATATTGCTTAGTGTAGATGAGAAACATAGTCTTTTTTGATGTTCTTTCTACATATTTGTTAATTTCTTATTATGGAAATAACACACACTATAATAGGTCTTTACCTATGAAATTGCCGTTCTGCCATACTGGCTATTGCAAGTCTTATATTTTCTCTTGAAATATTTTTTTAAATATGGAATTCTTTTTAAAAATTTAATCATTTGTTTAGTGGTTATCATTCTGTTTTCAACACATTCGTACGTTTTTCGTAATCATGGATACGTTAGAAATTCGAGTAATTATAGAGTATGAGTACTCTCATGGCAGCAAAGAGGCAGATGCGACATGCAACATCAACGATGTATATGGAGCGAACACTACTAACGATCGCACCACGCGTTACTGGTTTGTACGCTTCCGTTCTGGAAATTTCGACCTAAGGAATGAACCTAGCTGTCGACCGAAATCTTTAGTCGACAATGAAGAATTAAGGCTATTATGGAAGCTGATGATTCTCAAACTACAGCTGAATCAGCAGCAGCTTTCGATGCTAGCACGAATTAAATGATCGCCAGCGCGAAGTACGCGTTGAGTTGAGCCTTGCACTGCTCAACAGGCACTCAAACGAAGGCATATTGAATCGCATTATTACTTGCGACGACGAAATGGATTCTGTTCGACAATCGCAAGCGCTCAGCAAGTTGGTTAGATCTTGGTTCAGCACAAAAAGTGATGGTCACTGTTTGGTGATCTAGTGCCGGTGTTATTCATCACAGCTTCTTTCCAAACGAGATGAGTACTGTGAAGAACTGAACACAATGATGGAGAATCTCGCATATTTCCAACCAGCTTTGGTCAATCGTTCGGCTCCGCTGCTCCTGCACGACAACGCGCGAACTCATATTGCATAGCAGACGTTCTTCAAGTAACAAAAGCTGGGGATGGAAGTTCTCCATCAACCACCTTACCCACCAGACCTTGCCTCTAGAGACTTCTACTTTTTCAAACTTTTGGACAACTTTTTAGCAGAGCAAAATCCAATAAACGAGAGGCAGTTTAAAATGCCTTTGAAAAAAAATTTTTCTCCCAGTCCAGCAGACTTTTTCAAATAGGTCATCAATAAGCTACCACCATGTTAGCAAAAATGCATTGATTACATGGGTACTTACTTTGATTAATAAAAATAATAAATATTGAAAAAAAACCTAATTTCATTAAGTATAATAAATTGCGTAGGTAATTTTCACTATAATTTAGCTCACATAGTGACCAATATCTATATCTAATATCAATTTATGAAATTATTGAATATAAAATAAAAAATAATCCTTTAAATAAAACACATTATGTACAAATAATGTGTTTTATTAAAATTTAAATTAATTAAATATATTATAAAGCACTGACATGTTGCTGTTCACATGCGATAGTGAAATCTACAAAAATGTGAACACGTAAAAGTCTTTCATGACTAGGTACGTCTTAAAGATAACACCTGTGTGAAAATTCATCTCTCTAGGACAAAATTAAATATTTTATATACTTATATTGTTTCGATAAATAAATAGCTTCATAAAATAAAAAAAAAATATATCAATTAAAACAATTAAAAAAATAACTGAGCTCAGGATCGAACCAACGATCATTTGGTGTCGACCCCAAGACCGTTATCGTTCAGCTGTCTGTCACTTATAGTAAACTAGCGGCCGCCCGCAACTTCGTCCGCGTTAACTTTTAGTTTTTTTTTCAAAAATAAAAGTAGCCTAAGTTACTCTTTATTACATGAGCTAACCTGCCAATAAAAGTCCCGTCAAAATCGGTCCAGTCATTTCAGAGAATAGCCGGAACAAACAGACAGACTGACAGACAAAAATTGTAAAAAATGATGTTTTGGTGTATGTACCGTATTTATATTCGTATGCGTGTAGTAAAAAGCGGTTAATTCAACATTACAAACAGACACTCCAATTTTATTTATATGTAGTATAGATGATAAAATTACGGATACCTATCTTGTGTCAAATATTCTATTTCCGTTTCATCAAATTTCAAGTCACAACTATACTAAAGATGTTTTCACTTCCAAAAAAACATCAGCTATATATTATATATGTGCATACAGAAACCATTAACTTATAAGTTACATGACATGAAACATTTCAAATTATTGTTTGTAATAATTTCATCTTACACAATCTTTTTATTACAGGAATTTTCAGTTATTTTTTGCTCAAAGAATGTTACATGACGATTCGCCAACCAAAAGGAAGGCAGCTTCAGCTTTGGCTGAGACTAGAATGGCTTTGACATCTCTCAAGTCATTCAAAAGGCGCAACATAGCCAATGTGCCTGTTCAAAGGATTGGTGAGAGCATTAAAAGCACAATACCTGGTGTTGTAAAGCAACAATTAAATCAGTTTGATGCTAGAATGCCTAACTCCAATATTATGGTTAATGTTTTTGAGGTAAATGTTTACATGTAAAGTAAAAAGGTTTACAGTTATAGTTTTAATTTCATTGGGCATTTTATAATATGGACATTGCCATCAAGAAGTCTCATCGATATAGTTATAAAACCAATTTTTTTATTTGAAAAGCTCAGTTTTTAAACATGAATACCTTTATCTTAGTCAACTGTTTGTAATCAATGGAAATAGCACATTATTTAAAAAATATTTGATTTCTTGAACTTTGCTGTAAATGCTACCATATAAGAAATACAGAAAGTTCTGCAGAACATAATAATATAAATAAATAAACATTAGGTTAGAAGCAAAAATCCTCTTAACCATTCCCACTCAGTTAAGAGGATTTTGCTTTGTAGAGAATGAACCATTTCTATCTGTTAGAAAATGACGATTTTTCCATAATAAATGTGAAATTTCTAGGATGCACCATCAACTTCACATGCCATTCCTGTTGCGGAGAATCCTGGTCCAGCTTCATTAGTTCAGGCGTGTAGTAATGTTGAGAATGAAAAGGAAGTTGGGATATGGACTAATCCCAAGACTAAAATGGTTCATACAAATCTAGTACCTCACCAGCCTCTACCTTTTACTCGTAAGTTGTAATCGACAGAAAATTCTTACTCATTTCCATGAATCAAGCATTAACAGCTTTGGTCCATCGCGTCCGTCACCGGAAATTCAACGACAAGACAACTCACAAAGGAAGCCATTCATACATTAACTATAGCCGTTTATCCTCCGCAAGCCCATTGCCCGAGCACCGTCATTTCGACAGCCGAAGTTTCGAGGAAATCAGCTGTGCCCATAGAGCTCATACCGTGATGTCGCACAATGTCGTTTTTGGTTTAAACCCAATAAATAAATAAATCTTAAGACATCATTTTGATATCAGCCAGAAATAATCTTGTTCCGGTGATGGGCGCTGTGAACAACCGCTTTGAGCCTGAAAACTGAACGAAAGCGACGTATCATTATAAAATGGATTAAATAAATTTTTTTTTTGTTTAGCATATGAAGATGCAGATGATGTGCTAAGACTTCCTGCTAACCATATGTCGCATTGTCCAGACGATTTATCATTTAATGTGCCTCTTTGTGTACCTGATCCACCAGATCCTACGAAAATACCTTGTTACAATAAGTCCCAGGTAACATACTTTGTTTCTGTGTACTTTATTTGCCCAAATATACGGTACAACTATGGAATTAAAAAATCTATTGTTTCCTTAACTAAAATTTCAGGTTTATGTCGCTGACCAAGAATACAGTCTAGAAGAAATCAGGTCCAGGAAATACAATTTGATTAAGAAAGTTAAGACTGATTATCCTTCCGAGACAAAATGTCCACAATCTTACCATAATATAAATGAAACTCTCGCTCAGTGCAGTGCACTGGAAACACTAGCAAATTGTGCTTTAGATTCAGAACAGGATCATTTAGGGCAACTTATGCCATTATCTATTCCGACTTTGCAAAACATTACGAAAGTCACAAATATGCATTCTCCTGGAGAGCCTAAAGTTTTGGTAAATTTGGATTCAAAAGAATTCAGTGTAAAAAAAAGTGACGAAAATCAGCAACCTTCTGAAAATAATTCAGACAAAGAGAACAATATTGCAAAATTTGCACCTGACTACAATAATGAAAATGGCGCAGAAAATTATGCTAAAAATAATCTTATGGAAGAATTTAATAGGAGTTTGATGGGAAACCTTCTAGGTGATTCTGTTACTGTTAATACAAAAGAAGCGCGATGGGAACTGCGAAACCTATTCAATGACAATGGTATTTTTAAATTCATAGATATATGTTTTTAATTTGTTTCTTTAATATTGAATAAAAGTTTAATAAATATCTTTTGAAGGTTTTTCAGAACCATCGATAGTTCAACCTGTCGTACAACAGTTTGAAGTTCCTAACTTTGATATACATGAAGATCGATCAATTACGATGGCTATTAATACTAATAAAAAGCAAGAAGCCCAAAATGTCAGGGTTTTGCCTGAAGAAAAAGAAAACGCTAATAAATTCTCTGTTCCTGTCGCAGCACCTCGACAAAGTGTACGTTTATTTAAAACTGGCTAAGTGCATGTCGTCCCTATATATTTTCTTTGCAAAATCTGATGTATCAATATATTGTTATTTTTTGATAAAATATAAAAATTGTTACCAATTTTGAAGTTCATTAAGAAGTTAAATTCTTTGAAACAAAATTTTGTAACTTTCTTTCGTCTCAATAAAATTGTTATAGATAATAGTAAAATTTTTAAGACTGCAGCTTGAACCTTTTGCCTGTAAAATCAGTGTGTTAGAGAACGAACAGAAGCTATTTTAAGACCAATTTTTTATATTGCTTAAATTGTATATTAAATTATTATTTACTTTTATTAGGTTAATAGAACAGGGTATTATGAAGAGCCATCCTGCACCCAAGTATTCAACTTCAATATAAAAGATGCTAGTACTCCTAATATGTCACAGTTTAAAAAGCCGACTTCTATAGATCAATCTAAATATCCTAATGTACCAAAGTTCAGTATAGATGAAAGTGTTATTGACCATGTAGAACATGGTGCTGTCAAAAAGGAGGATAGCATTAGGCAGCTTAATACAGATCAACATGCCACAGTGGATAACCAGGGAGGAGGGCTCTCTGTAATAATGGAAGCTACACGGGAATACAATAGGTAAGTACATTATGTTAAAATGAAAATATACTTTATTCAAATTGACTTATTGAAAGTTCTTATGTATCGTCCAATATGTTTATAACGTAACATTAATAAATACACTGAACACACACAAATTGATTGATTCAATTAAAATGGAATTTGTAGTTTGACGAGACCGATTAATTAATTTATTGTGACAAACAAAACTGTTGTTGTAAAATCAATAACTTAAAATTAATTAAAGCAATATCAATTACAGTAGTTACATTTAAGTAAAATTTAGAATATGTTCTATTTTATTTCATAAGTGGAATACTGGATTGGGTATTTCGAAATGTGGAGTTAAAACTACACTAAGCTGAAAGTGTTAACATGAAAACAATCTGTATCTTTCAGTAAATCGGGTTCCAGTTCATCAGGACAATCAACAAGGACTAATTTCACTGGATACACAACAAATTTTGACTCAATGTATAATAACCACAACGATCCCACTCAACAGGCCACTACTTCGAAAAGAAGTTCCATATCAACACAGCCGCGATTACCCAGTGGCCAATTTGCAAGAGTTTATCCTCAGAAACGCGAACAATCCGAAAGCAAGCCAGTTCCAAACACGGCCGTGCCTTATCTTTCTCACGACCACCAGTATCAGAAGCCAATGCCCAATAATTATAATGGATACTCCCCTCAGCGATCAATGCATTCCCACTATCAGCAGAACTTCAGCTATCAACAGGGCTATTCAAATAATCAGATGATGAACCAACAACAACAAGGCTACAATAGTCCTAGTCCAAATGCTTATCACAGTCCTCAACATACGGGTATGCAGAGTCCTCATCCTATGAGCCCTAATGTGCCCCCAGGATTTCAAAGTCCCACATATTCTAATCAAGTTGGGTATCATAGCCCCGGACATGCAATTATGAGTCCACAAAGTTCCTACACAGGTAGGCAGGACTATCATTATCCTAGTCAAACTGATAGACAACATATTTATGCTACTCAACAGCAGCAGCAGCAACAGCAACAACAACAACAACACAATCCTGCCGTTTTCCAAAGCCCTCCACATCAGCCACAATATCAAAATAACCAATATTACCAAAGGCCTAGTCAAGCGGCTGCTTCATCAAACCAGGGTTATAATCAACAAAATTACCCTAATATGCATAATCAATATAGCAATGCTAATGTCTATCCTAATGTTAATAACCATCCTAATAATCAAAGTTATAATGCCATACAAAGCCCTTATAGGCAGCCAGCTAAATCAGTTCCCGAAAATAGTTCAAGCGCATATGGCGCGCAAAATAATCAGCCATTTCAAATATACCAAAGTCCTCAACAGTCTCAGAACAGTTTCCGCAACGCTGCTGTTCATAGTACTAACACACCTTCAGAAACATTAGAAAGTCATGTAAAACAGGAATCACATGCGCATATGAAATCTCAAGAATCTGTGTCTCCCAACGACCAAAGTATTACTAAATTAACTCAACAAACTAAAAATGCACCTCATAAAAGCCCTACTTCAGCATTGCGTCACATCAGACACGACCAGCCTAATACGAAACCGAGTCAGAATTCGGCAGATGTTGGATTTTCAAACCAGTTCCTTAACTTCATTTCTAACAGAAATGAACCAAAAGACAATGCGAACACTCCCAAATTCACAAACAGTCCAAGTATTTCCCAAAAGATGCACAAAAATCTCTACGTATCAAGTCCAGAGCAGGCTCAGATACCGCCATCTTCAGGCCTCTCTGATTCTGATAGTAAAGATGGAATGACGGCTCAAACTATAACACCAATCCAGTCCGCTAAAGTTACGCATAGTATTCCCGAAAAGCACAAAGATATATCTAAAAGGCAACTGGACTTTGAACATCGAGTTGATTTACAATCTGAAGATAGCAGGGACTCGGTTAGTAAGGAGAGTAGAATCTCATCAGTGTATTCGAGACAGTCGGACTTCCAATCTGATGGCTATGGTATGGATGTAGATAGTGAGAATTCTATGGAATGTGGTGCTTTCAAATCGACACATTCTATCTCTTTGATAGAAACAAGTGATATACCCAGACCAGCAGATATTGAATTCCCTAAAGTGATAGATCCATTTAATAAGAAGATAATTTCGTCTCTATTGGAATATGTTAAATTCCCTAATAAAACACATGCTGACGGCTACATAGAAGTGAGATCTGTACCGAAATTGCAACCAGCGACTATGATAAGCATCGGAAATAACAAATTTTCTATTGAGAAGCAACTCGGCAAAGGGAATTATGGTGCAGTATTTCTATGTCTTGATATTCATACGAATAAATCTGTGGCGGTTAAGTATCAAAAACCTAGCCGACCGTGGGAGTTCTACATTTGTCAGGAAATAAAGGCGAGAATAAAAGATCCGTTCATGGTTCGTATATTGGCTAAGTTTCGTTTTTGGGATTTTATAAGATTTAGTAATAAAAATGTATGTACTTTCAGCTCCCAGGGTACATGGACATAACTACTGCTTTCATAGGAGACAATGCCAGTTTATTTGTATCAGAATATTCTAAATATGGATCTTTACTAGATGTTGCTAATAAAGTTAGAATTGCTACCTCAAAATGTATAAACGAGTTTATAGTTATCCTGTTGACATCTGAAATGCTGTCCATTGTTCATTATCTTCACAAAGCTCAAATAATCCATGCAGACATCAAACCTGACAACTTTTTACTTATGAAAATGTGAGTATTCTGTAACATTGTCATTATATAGCCTACAGAGCATTGAGGATGTGTCAGCTTGAGTTAAATATACATCAGTGTCCTCGTTTGTTGAATGAATGTAGTCCTTTCGTGATCCTTTTCGTTTCATATATGGAACTTAAAAAAATATATCTTTTCACGACAGTTAAGAGTTAGCTCTATGTATTATCGCTTTCAAGTTAGTTGATAAAATTTTACACCTTGTCGTCGATAGTCCATGAAATTTCTGTTTTAGTGAAGATTCTTTGTATAATGATAATATTATAATTTGATTTTTTTAGACCAACTCAAGAATGGCGGACTCCGTCTTTGCAGCTAATCGATCTGGGATGCGCTATTGATATGTCATTATTTCCAGAAGAGACTACTTTTAGAGAGGTAACTATTCCTCTTTCTTTACATACAAACTTAATTCGTGTCATGCGGTGTCCGTTTTAAAAGTGAGTCTAAAATACCGAAAGTGCATGTTTAATATATTGTTCATAATGTTGATTTTTGCAAACTAAAATATCAAGAATATTCATCTTATTTTTCTTTGGCAATATTGTGACTGCCACAAATTCTGACAATATCACGTAGTAATTACACGTTGGTCCTTTGTTAATATTTTATTTACAAAATTAGTTTGTTATAATTGTTTCTTTTTATGTGGATACCTAGAACAACAAGACAAGAGTAATAAAATGAACTTATTATGAAAAGTCTAATTTGACAGTTTTGTATGAGAAGGCCTAAAATCGCTACTTATATCAAACTCCATTAATTTCGAATTGGGGAATTCTTAATTATAACATCTTTCGTCCAATGTCGTCATTTTTGACCCAAGGGAAACAAATGTACTGAGGCCCAAGCACGAGTTTTTGATAGTACCTGCTTAGTTTTCATAGAACATTTTTGACACATTTGACGATGTGATACTTAAGGAGCTGTGATAAATTCGTACTTTTGGCCTCACTGCCCCGACGACACCTTATTGGCCCTTACGTGGATCACGATAGCGTAGGTGGATAGCGCGTTTTGTGTGCGATCGTGAAGGTTGAGCAACTTTCGCAATGGCCCGTTCTCGAACCCGACCTATAATAATAATAATAATTTTATTTTCAATAATTTGTTACATCATGAACACATTAATTAATCAAATTCTTCAAGTTTTTATACAATCCTAGATACATAACCGAGATAATAAAAGGTGTATTTTATTTTTTGACTAAACGTAACAATACTGTAGCATTGATTGTGGGTCCCACACTAGGAGAAACCTGTATCGTGGGCACCCTAATATAATAAATAGGATGGCGTCACATTAATAATTTATATGTAATTATTATTTGTAACAAAACAAACGTAATGAAATCAATTATAAATACTAAATTAAAATCAATATTGTATGTTTGTGTTTGCGTGCGTGTGTGCGTACGTGCGTATGTGTGCATGTGTGTGTGCGTGTGTGTTAGAGTGTGTGTGTATGTGGAGAAGAATAGATATAGTTTGGGATAGGAATGTATCGATGAGATGTTGGTCTTATTTTGTGTGTTTAATAAGGTCCTCCGTTTGAAGGTAGGTCATGCACTTCAGCTTTTTACTGAGCACGCGTTTGGCTTGTCCTCGAACCCCTCCTTGTTTTGGAAGTCATTTAAACCGTTGTTCCTATTGGTTGTGGGACGATAATTAAAACAACTTAATAGGATTTCAATAATATTAAACTGTAATAGTCCTTTGTATTTCGCCACAAAAAGGTATACCTTTCTCCTAACACAGCTTAATACAGAATAGAAAACGAGAGGGTGTTTTACAAAAGTAAAGAAGCCACCTCAGCCAATAAAAAAAACATCAATTGACCACAGACTAGATTAACATAACTTAACTCTAATGATTATAATCGATAATTATGAATAATTATTTTTTCCATCATATTTGAATAAAAATAAAACCAACAGTTCCCGGCTGCATCTGCAGTCTTTCGTTAGCACCCACCAATCTGCTCGGCCCTCGAAAAAGTCTGAATAACAGAAATGCATTTATTATTTACTAGTGGCCCGCCCTCGCTTCGCTTCGGTATAGAGCTGAAGTGTAGACTATAGTTTTTGTTCTCAGGCTTGTATTATACACAATGACATTCTTCTTATACCTAATTACAATAGGCACGCGCTGCCAGGCCCGTTCGGTAGCGTCGGAACCGCTATGTCCCTGCATTTTAAAATCTATAATATCTTCGAAAATATTCATTTAAATTACATGCTTTAAAGGGCCAAATTTATCTGTAAATCCACTATGTATTTAAGGTACTTAATTGGTTAAGGATGAATGATAAATTGCTGAAAATCGTTTCGTAAATAAGCTATTATTTCTCGTAAAAAGTATAGAATAAAAAATGATTATTGTGGGTTATCTCTAAGATATAGACATATACCATCGCAGACTTTTGTAGACCTTTTTAAGGTGTACAATACTGTAGTACATTATTTTGATCTATCTCGTAGGGTTCACCCAGCGTTTTCAATGTATGCGCAACATTATATATATTAATGTGTTTATTTACGACCTTACGTTAAAAACCTCTAAAATTATCAGTATTTCTCTATTATATTATGCATGTATGTATAATATAAACCTTTCTCTTGAATCACTCTGTCTATTAAAAAAAAACCGCATCATAATCCGTTGCGAAGTTATAAAGATCTAAGCATACATAGGGACAAAGGGACAGACAGCGGGAAGCGAATCTGCTTTATACTATGTAGTGATTTGCAATCGGTCCCTTAGTCGTAATCAGATCTGTACCCTTAGCACGAACCAATATCGAATTCGAATAGTTGAATTTGATCTCGATACACGTCTAAAGTCAAGAAGTTTTGTATGGAAGATTTTAATTCTCGTTGCGTCCGTTGTGGCCCTGTCCAAATTTCCTTGTAAAACTTCTTGACATTTGACGTGTATCGTGATCGAATTCAACAATTCGAATTCGATATTGCTTCTTGCTCTGTGATTACAAGATTTGAAGCGACATTCCACTGAATGTTGTCATTGAGATTTTTTTTTAATTCTCTAATCAAGGTTTATGACCATGTTTTGAGACGTTTATCATTATAACTTTTATTTAATGGGTCTTTGCCAGTTCATTTATGTTATGTAGTCTCCAACAGAAATTGATAATATATTCTTTTACAGTTGATTGCTACAGAAGGTTTCACATGCACGGAAATGAGGGAAGGAAAGCCATGGACATACCAAACTGATTTGTACTGTCTAGCGGGGACTATTCACGTTATATTAATGGGCAGCTACATGAAGGTGGCAAATCGCTTAGGCCAATGGAATATAGACAAGAAATTACCCAGGTAAAAACTTTATTTTTGTTTGTTTCTCTGTTACCTCTTCACTCTTGATCCGCTGAACCGATTTAGATGAAATTTGATATAGTGATATTTTGAGTCCCAAGAAAGGACATCTGTAGAATAGTTTTTATCCCAGAAATCCTACTTTAAGGGGGCGTAAAGGGTGGTTGAAGTTTGTATGGGAAACTAATTTTTCCATGCAGACGTAGTCGCGGGCACCCGCTTGTATACAATAAGTGCTTAACATAAAAGTTAGAGCGAATGTGAAAATGATGACGAATCAAGGAGACTAATCGGATATTCGTACGAAAAAAATTACATAGGTTACACTGCTACTCCAATGTCGCGTTCTATTAACCCGTTTACATGGCGTGGCGTTAACAGTCAGCCACCACCATTGCCTTGCGCGTTGCTTTAAAAACTTACCAAAGAGAGATCAGTGAGAGGTGGTGTGAGTGAGCGGAACAGCAACAATCGCATTTCACTGCGCCTTTGGGGGAAAATCGGAAAGTGTGAGCACCATCGCCAATGGAAGCCAACTGTGCTCACATTAGCTATTTTTCGTGCAACTAGTGGGTCGCCGCGACTTCGCCTGCGTGAAAAAATCTCTGGTCTAGTTATGAGATCATGACAATGAGTCATAGTTTAATGTTATTTTATATTTAAGGTACATGAAGGTATCTTTATGGGACAAGATATTCACTACACTGCTGAACGTCCCAGATTGCAACAATTTGCCAGACATCATGGATCTCAAAAACGATGTAGATAGTGTATTGAATGAAATCGATAACCTCGGCTCTCAACTACGTAACTTTGCTAATGTGCTTAAATCTAGGTAAATCACGTAAATGACCTTAATGTATTTATTGCATTTAGTTATAATGGCGAATGTAAAATAGACATATAATTATGTATTATTAAATATAGAAATACAAATTATTTCTAAGACTAATAAACTATAATAGAACCCTTCGCCAGGTTAATTAGACATTGCCCTTTGGATTGAATAAAAGCAATAAGTATTATAATATCAGAATCTACTACTTAGCTATATGAACGTGTCTTGTTGTTTTTTAGTTAAAATGTGATATTTGTGATTTTTAGTTTGTTTTGTTTAGTATAATGGAACATAAAAAAAAACTTGGCTTGGACTTTTTACTTGTTAGCTTATTATTGAAACATCAACTACGTTTCATTTATTTTTATACTGATAGAATCCATCACTTCATCGTTTGAATTGTAATAATGTAATAAAGAATTACCTGGTTGAAATTTTTTTTATTCATGTAACAAAAACCATCATTTAATAGGTTTTGGTCCCAATGTACCTCGTACGTAACTAATCACTATAACTCAAAACTGCGAATTTGCAACGCTGAAGACAGAAACGATGGGGTATGTGGTATCGCGGATTAGAATAGAAACTGAAATAAAATGGCGCCTTGGTCGGCGTTTCTATGCCACTTGTTGACCATATGCCTCGTAGCTTTGGGAAGTTTCTAATGATGTTGTAGACTGGACATTATGTACTTGATTGATCCTAGGTTCTAAGTCAATGTACTTGATTGATCCTAGGTTCTAAGTCAATCAGGCCCTGCCTGCGGAAAAAGGATTAACTACTTTAGCTACATAAATATGTTGTAGAGCCTTGATGCTATCTCTCTCTTTAAACAACTTTTTTTTTATCTAAAAATCTTTTAGGATTGAAAGCTTTCACATTGAACACTTGCACATACATTACAAACACATTTCTCAGCAGTTTATCCATATCATGCTTTATAAGGGAATTAAAAATGGACAGGATTGGAGAGCAGTGTAAATTGGAAAATTTTACCTGAAAATAAAATTTATTAAAGATACTTACCCTATTCGAAGCTTTTAAAATTGAGGTGGCAACCCTGTCAACATACGAACACGCACGGGAATTTTAGGCGGGATTTCATCGAGTGTGGTTGGCGTCTTATTTTAATTATTCTTAAATTCGTTCATAGTGGATATTGTGAAATAAAATTGGTGTGATTTTGTGTTACAACCATCTGCGCTACTGAAGAATTAGTGGAATCTTTAAAATATCGATACTTGTAATTTCAATTGATGCAAAGCACAAAACCCGACTTATCAGGAGAGCCATAATAAGATTTTTTTAAATTACTTAAAGTCATTACGCTTTTATTTTTACAGTTATAAAAAAGTGATGTAGACAAAATATTCCTAAAATCTTGTGATGCAGACGATGAAATATTTAGTTTTTAGTCTAGTTTGTTATTTTGGAAAATAGACGTGCTTTACATCTATACAAAATCATTAAGATGTTCTTTACGTCCATTTTTATTATGATGTTTAGATGCGTTTTGGACGTAAAGCTCAATTGAAAAAAAAAAAAAATCTCTACGCCCCAAAAATAAATGTTTAAGAGTATCTATATTGTCATAGTACACAGGTGTAAAGCTAATAGAAAAAGTTATATAATCTCATATTTTGAATTTAAGAACTAATATTATTTATTGATTAGGTGGTGAAGCATAGCCTACAAGTCATTTTAAATAGCATGTGTTGCCTATGGCTTAAAATAGATAACTAACAAATAAAAGAATAGTCTAAAGAATAAATTGTATTTTTTTTGTTTAGAATATCTTAAACATATTAGAATAGGCAATCATCAGCGCAGTACTAGGTTACTTTGGTCATATCGCCCGGAGAAAGCCCGACAACTTAGACAGTATAGCTCAGACCAAATAAAAAGTACAGACAGTCTGCCAAACAAAAAAGTGAAGCCGATAAAACTACGCCTCGCCGTGTACATACACAGTTACACGCACACACATGCAACGAAACTACGCCTTGGCTTCCCAGTCGAGCTATCGTAATAATAAAAAACAATATTTATTAGAGAAAATGCCGAATTGTGAAGTGAAAACCTGTAGAAACCAATCTTCTAAGAATAAAAAATGGTTGTCTGTAAAGTCGGTTTTACGGGCGAAGATTTTACGTGACAACGTCTTTTTCTCGGTAGAATATTTATTGATATGAATATAATTAAATTGCACAATAGGAACAAGGAATTGAATGAAAATAAGAATTGCACAAATTTTAACTATAGAAATATATTTTGTTTACTAAAACATTGTACATGTAAACTTAAACTCATCGTAACGTTACCGAGCGTTACACTTTTTCATAAGTGACTCCCAGCCGCAACCTAATTTAAGACGTTGTCACGTCAAAAACAGGATGGAATCACATTTCATACGTAAGAAAAATTATAAACTAATATTTTCAATTAATCAAAATCAAATTTGAGGTTGTCGCTTTGTAAACAAAATCTGAATGAAATGCTGCCATGATTATACGTTACAGTTTTACCCTTTTGTTGGGTAGCGTGAAATATAACGTAACGTTATTTTATTAAATACATTGTGTAGCATACTTTTATATTATTCGAATATGTTTCGTGTTATTACATCTTTATTATCTTTTTTCTTTATGTGTTCGTATAATTTTTTTGGGATGTAATACAAATTATATATTATACGTTTTTTTTACGATTTCCTAATCGAGATCAAAATCTAAAAGAGAAGTGGATTGCAGTCATTCGTAAGAGTAGAAATGAACCATTGTGGCAACCAGCTTCCCGCAGCGTGGTTTGTTCGTCTCATTTTCAGAGCGACGATTTGTACTATACAACAAAATGGTTACGTCGTGTAAAATAAAATGCGATATGCATTATTTTACACGACGACAAGGGTATTTTTTTTTACTTAACTTAATATAGTTACTTAGGTTAATTTATATTACACCAATTTTATTTCACAATATTCACTATGAACGAATTAAAGAATAATTAAAATATGACGCTAACCGCACTCCTTGAAATCCCGCCAAAAACAAAGGTTAAACTTTGTTTTTATTATATATTTTTTAACTAAACTTTTATTAGTGTAACAGTTATTAAACTTATAAATCACAGGAACCCCAGATCTCCAAGCGCAGGACCTTTGGCTCACGAGAGGTTGGATCTAGGGCTAGTGCAAAACTAATCTGGACTAGTTTAGAGAATAAGCCTACGATAGTTTTTTCTAATATTTTATAACGTTATTAATAACGTTATGAAATATGTTTATTAATAACGTTATGAAATAACGTTATTAATATTTCTAATATTGGGGTATTATAAATGACTATGGTAACACTGGCTAATGCACTACATACATAAAAAACCGGCTTCACTTTTTTGTTCGGCAGACTCCGTCTTTACTTTTTATTTGGTCTGAGCAGTATAGTTGTAATGGGATAAGTAAATGGTAAAAGTCGAAAAGGGCTTTCACCTGTCCGTTGGTAAGACCAAATAAAAGACATAACCGGATTCAGTCTACCGACTGCCCTAAGACGAGCCGAAGATAGAGTGGATTGGAGAGACCTCGTCACCGTCTCGGTAAAGGCAATTCAGGAAATTCATTTCCTTCGGGAATGAAGCTTTCAATGAAGAAGTCAATATTTAACAAAATAATAAGGTTTCTTATGTTCAAATACCTAAATTGATTAATTGATTCAGCAGGGGAGCTAAGGAGCCGTCAATATGTTCTAGGCAACCAACAGAATTTATCTAAATGATGTATATTTTAGCATAAGCGTCTGAAATATACCGCTTTCAGTAAAAAAATGTTAAAACATTACACACATTTTGTTCGAGACATTAAAAATATGAGTAAAAACATTTATTTAAATAATTAAATGGGTTTAAAAGTGAAATTCATAAAAAATTTTAAAACTATAGACGTAAGCCTCCTACGCCAATTTTCTAACAAAACATGTTACGAAATCAAGTTTTATCCAATCGCCGTTAGCAAAACTGTTAGGCCATACCACTAAACGGTTAGCAAACAATGTTATAGTGTTAGCAAACACGAAAACACGGCGCAGGAGACCCAGCTTAAAGCTTTATATTTAGCTTTTTGATACAATGAAGATCCTTTGGGGGGATCAGTATACCAGCTTGCACCCAGCACTGAATACTACATACTTTTGTTTGATGCTGCTGTACTGACATTCAAATTTGTTTTGTTTGTCAAATTATTAATTGAAATAGAGTTATAAATTATATTTCTTGTGATTTTATTAATAGGTTAAAGAACAAAAACAATGTTGATACCTGAGGAACAATATACTATTATTCGTCTCGGGTATACGTTAGTAAGGTGGCGATGTATTGACATTAACACTTAATCAGGTAACACACAATAGCTACTATAAAGATATTTATTTGCTCAAAATTAAGGAAAGTAAATACACATAATTTAAAAAAAAATGGGTGCATGTACTTATGTAGGCGCGTGAGAAGTTATCCTTCTTTGGCATCGTTTAAAATTAGTTTTTAATTACATGCAAATAATTAATTACGATAAATTAATAAAAAGTCTGGAAAAGGACACAGTCAATAAAGTTCAGTTTTAATTTGAAAAAATAAATAAATAATCAAAATATTCAATTAAAATCGCTACTGAATATAATTTATTAGAACATATGTGATTTGCACTTGTATGAAACTCAAACACGTATTCCGAATATACAAACTAAAAACATGTGGATAAATATTATAAATATGAATACCTATAACTGTTACTTTATTACAAAAAATAAAGATGTGGTTTTTGGTTCTACTACACCAATGGTCAAGAGATGGCGCTGTAGTCTCCTGAATCGCGCTTTGGTTCCGTTGTTCCAGATTAATAAATACTTTTGATAGGCCTTCACAATGCAGTCGTTAGCACCCACTAAATAGAGATTCTATTTCTATTTTGTTGGTAGATTTTCTTAATGTGCGGTAAACACAAAAGTAACAGCATGAAGATGGTCGCTAAAGCGACCAACTTCATGCTGTTAATTTTTTGTGTTACAGTGATCCGCGCGCATCTTAAAATTTCACTCTCATCATTTTTTCATAACGCGCCTAAAGAAGTATAACTTCAAAAATGTGCTTTACGCCCTTTTATGTTTACAGAGAGATCAAAAACTTTGACTTAAATCACATTTAGCTTTATATATAGTAAATGGTTGGGCGGTTAAAAACATAATGAAATTATGACGTTTTTTCGTTACATTTTCAATGTGTCTAAAATCGTTATTAATGGCCGCATTGCCACGAGAATTAGACAGAAAAAAAATTAAGTAAGATGGCATTCATAACTCATTTTGGCCAAAATGTGCTTTACGTCAATCGAGATTACAGGTATCGATATACTCTATTCCGGTCAAGTGGACGTGAGAACTTTATTGTAGTGTTGATTACCTCACAGAAGCTTATCGAAAAAACCAACTCGATGCATTTCGTGCCAAACACTCCCGAGAAACAATAGAATGCGTCACACCGACATTCTAATGAAAAAAAGAGGTTTTTGGCGGGATTTCATCGAGTGCGGTTGGCGTCTTATTTTAATTATTCTTAAATTCGTTCATAGTGGATATTGTGAAATAAAATTGGTGTGGTTTTGTGTAACAACTGTCTGCGTAACTGAAGAATTAGTGGAATCATTAAAATATACGCTATTCCGGTCAAGTGGAAGTGAGAATTTTATTGTAGTGTTGACTACCTCACAGAAGCTTATCGAAAAAGCCAACTCGATACATTTTGTGCCAAACACTCCCAAGAAACATTAGAATGCGTCACATCGACATTCTAATGTAAAAAGAAGATTAATTTAATTAAAGACCAGGCTGTATGGGCATAGTTCCCTTTGCCTTCCCTAAAACGGGAGAACTTCAACAAAAAAAAAAGAAAAAGAAGATTAAGATTTGTATTTATATATACGACTGAAGGACTTGTATCCGTGGTCATGAATAAATTATATATAAAAAAAACGAAGGGCTGTATGGACTTAGAATCCTTTGCCCGTCCCAACAGGGACAAATTAACCAAAAAAAAAAAAAACGAACGCGCACGAAGGCGCCCATACTGTGGCAACAAACCGCCTGCATCGATCTTCTCATAACGAGGCGGTCCTATAAAATTGAAATCCAATGCGCTGATCGCGCCAGCCGTCGTGTAGTGTACGGGTACGGCCAGAGTGCATTCAGACTCAGAAAACAAGCGCGAGAAATATACAGTGTAGTTTAAGCAGGTTGCCTGCTGCCACTATGGCCACCCTGCTTAAACTTTTAAACCCATTTAATTATTTAAATAAATGTTTTTACTCATATTTTTAATGTCTCGAACAAAATGTGTGTAATGTTTTAACAATTTTTTTACTGAAAGTGGTATATTTCAGACGCTTATGCTAAAATATATATCATTTAGATAAATTCTGTTGGTTGCCTAGAACATATTGACGGCTCCTTAGCTCCCCTGCTGAATCAATTAATCAATTTAGGTATTTGAACATAAGAAACCTTATTATTTTGTTAAATATTGACTTCTTCATTGAAAGCTTCATTCCCGAAGGAAATGAATTTTCTGAATTGCCTTTACCGAGACGGTGACGAGGTCTCTCCAATCCACTCTATCTTCGGCTCGTCTTAGGGCATTCGGTAGACTGAATCCGGTTATGTCTTTTATTTGGTCTTACCAACGGACAGGTGAACGGCCTTTTCGTCTTTTACCATTTACTTATCCCATTACAACTATACTGTCTAAGTTGTCGGGCTTTCTCCGGGCGATATGACCAAAGTAACCTAGTACTGCGCTGATGATTGCCTATTCTAATATGTTTAAGATATTCTAAACAAAAAAAACACAATTTATTCTTTAGACTATTCTTTTATTTGTTAGTTATCTATTTTAAGCCATAGGCAACACATGCTATTTAAAATGACTTGTAGGCTATGCTTCACCACCTAATCAATAAATAAAATTAGTTCTTAAATTCAAAATATCAGATTATATAACTAGCAGCCAAGCTAGCAGCCAGCAGTTGCCCAGCTGGTAGCCTAGCTAGCTACCTAGCTAGTTGCCCAGCTAGCAGCCTTACTAGTTGCCTAGCTAGCAGCCTAGCTAACAACCTAGCTAGTTGCCCTGCTGGCAGCCTAGCTAGCTACCTAGTTCGTTGCCCAGCTAGCAGCCTAGCTAACAGCCTAGCTAGCAGCTTAGCTAACAGCCTAGCTAGTTGCCCAGCTAGTAGCCTAGCTAACAGCCTAGCTAGTTGCCCAGCTGGCAGCCTAGCTAGCTACCTAGCTAGTTGCCCAGCTGGCAGCCAAGCTAGTTGCTTAGCCAGCAGCCTAGCTAGCAGTCTAGCTAGCAGCCTAGCTAGTTGTCTAGCTGGTTGCCTAGGTATCAGCGTAGCTAATTGTCTTGCTAGCAGCCTTACTAGTTGCTTAGCTAGCAGCTTAGATAGTTGCCCAGTTTATGTTAGGTACACCAGTTATATCAGCCATCTCTATGGCTGAGTAACCGAGAAAGTTAGTGGTTACTAATGAGTAACCAGGGGGATTCGGGACCAGGCAGCAAACGGAACTCGAACCCGCACCCCTCGCGTGGATTTTTTCCTAGTAAAACTTTTCTTTAGATTTTAACTAGCAGTTAAATGCTTAAAAAAAAAATTTATACTTTTATTTATCTTTAATTAATATTAAATCGTGTTTAAAAATTTAATAGATTTGAAATAAGGATTTCTTAATAATGTAATAAAGTTGAACAGAATCATTATTACTGCTATAGTCACCTGTTGAATAAAATATATTTGATGCTTTGATGCATCAACAAATAGATAAATAAACTTGCCACTTGCTAATGAATAATTTTATATAAAAAAACGAGCGAGCCTTCTGCCGAAGCCGAACTACAGCAAAATATTTTTTGAGGGGAAAAATGTCCTAAGAAGGGGAAATCTGAATTGAGGCTTGGGGAAAGGAAATCATTAAAGTGGAAACACTAAAAAACACGTTTAATGCGATTCAAATAAGAATAGGAAAGCCAATAACCTCTATCTGTCAAATGTCGCTTGAAAAGTACGGTTTGCAAAAAAAATCTTGGCACCTTTTTTTAGCACTCCGCTAATTCAAGAATAAAAACCAAACATTTGTAAACAAACAATAACAAATATTGATAATTAATGGCGGTTGATATTTTTTTTTCACTTAATGAGCTTTGGCCATGAATAGTTGATAACCTAAATCGTCAACCAAATGTCACTTTAAGTTGCGTTAAGAAACTCGATTTCAAACTTTCGTTTACATAAAGGATGCATGTTCGTATGTGACCTAGTAATAGTGCATGATTATTCATAACTACTCCGGCGGTAATGCAGAACTGAGCGGAATAGAAGAGCTAGATTCTGATTAATGTAGGTACAGTAGGACTGTAAATAAATATTATTAAAAATCAGTTTTTTTTTTTTCTCAATCTTAGTGAATAAATGTTATCAAAAAAAACCAGTATTAGGGTGCGGCCAGAGTGCACTCAGTGTAGTCTAAGCAGGTTGCCTGCTTTTTTCGCGCTTGTTTTCTGAGTCTGAATCTGAATCAGGAGTGCACTCTGGCCGTACCCTTCGACTACACTGTTTATTTCTCGCGCTTGTCTTCGAAATCTGAATCTGAGTGCACTCAGATTCAGATTCCGAATCTGAGTGCACTCAGATTCAGATTCCGAAAACAAGCGCGAGAAATAAACAGTAGTCTAAGCAGGTTGCCTGCTTTTTCTCCCGCTTTGTTTTCTGAATCTGAATCAGGAGTGCACTCTGGCCGTACCCTTCGACTACACTGTTTATTTCTCGCGCTTGTTTTCGGAATCTGAATCTGAGTGCACTCTTTCGTTGCATTTCCTATGTAAATAGTATTTAATCTTTACTTTTGTCAAATGTGACCTTAAAATGTATCCTTTTTATGGTTTGTTTACATTTTGTCTCACGCCAATGTGAATAGACTATAGGTAGGGGAGAAGGAGGCACCTTAGCTCAGGGGCAGATTTGAACATGTTGATTTCTGAAAGTAACTTTATGTTAATTTATGCCATAATTACATTTTAATATTGGCAGCACTGGCTGTGACAAACGTCAAGTAACAAAGCGCGCGCGTTTCGTTTTCAAAAAGATTTTTAAGCTGTCGTCGTATTTGTACCAATGAAGTAAAAAATAAAAATAAATGTTGTCAGGGATTTACTATCACGTGAGTAAAGGTTTCCAACTAATTCTTTCACAAAATTGTACAGTACTTATTAGTTTTCAACCCACTTTGTTGTTTTTGCTTGCCAGTTATTTTACATTATTTTTTTGTAATATTTTTTTTCCAAGTGACTGTGGGGCAGATTTGAACGGGACGTTCAAATACAAACTTCATGTGTTTTCTTACAAGTTTGATTTTAAGTTTAATTTTGCGTCTGAGGCAGTATTATATAATAATAATAATAACAATAAACTAAAACTCTTGTGCAATATGATTACTTTTGTCAACAAGGAGGAAGTCCAACACAATGAAAATACTATTTTTGTTACTGTAATGCAAGATGTAACTTTAGAATTTTCGTATAAGTTTATTTTATATTTTATAACAATAAATATCTTTATAATAAAGACAAATTATTACTCTATCCTCTCTTTTTCTGGTTCTTAACCCATTATTCAAAACTGCCCCATGTCGATTCAAATGTGCCCCCCTGGGGAGGCAATTTGAACAAATTTGTGTTTAAAAAAAAACACAATATTTCTCTTTAACTTTTTCAGCAAATTCAAACATTTCATTATTTTTATATTAACAAAGGAGTAAGAAGCTAAGAAAATTATGTTTTTTTCAATTTCTTTTACAGTTGATTTTTTATGAGCCCAAATACGAAAAATGTGCCTCCTTTTTTTTAACACATTCAAAAATTATGGAGATGGTTATTTTTAAATTAAATGAAACCATAGTTTTGTATGATTTATTGTACTACTTTTTCAATCCTTTGTTTTTTCCTTTCCTGATATTCTTGGACATTGTCAAATTTTCTTTTGTACAAAATCTTTATAGCATCTAAACTAAGTTTAACATTAAAGTTTACAATTTTATCTTCAAACATTTTAATTTGCTTATCCATCTGAAATGTGATTCTTTCATTACTATTCACAACTGACAAAATTGAAACTATGCAGTCAATATCATCATACAGAATCAGTGAACATTTTATAAACATTATTGCAGCTGGGAATTTCTGCACAGGTATCATCTCTTCTTTTTGGTGTTTGAACTGATTGTCGATTGTTTGTAATGTATATATCAATATTTTGTTAAAACTATGTATAGTAACCGCAATTAAGCTGGAATCTTTGTTAAATTTTGTGACAGCATAATGGACAATGGGCAAATTTAATACCTCCACACCTTCCTCATCCATTCTTTTAGAAAATAATTCACAGAGTTCATTATTATCAACATCCAGACAAGCATTGATATTATAACATAGTTTACCATTAACATAGTCCCAAAATTTCACATTGCCATCACCAGAAGAACTAGTTATGTATTTATCATTATGAGGCAGAATTTCTATGTGATTTACAAATTCCTTATGGCCCAAACAGTATGTCTGTATATTATATGTATTGGGATAGCAAGAAACTCTAATTTTCTCATCTCGGTCACAACTGATAATGTATTTCATATCATGTGTTTGTAGTACATCCAACAACAAACTCAAATGCCCTAAAAGTTTAGTGCCGCTATTTTCTTTACTGAAATCATAAATTAAAACGTCACCACTTTTATCTGCTACTAAGACATTGATGTTATTTGGCGAGAATCTAATCTTGCTGGCACTCCTTGGCAGTATAAAACTTTTATATTCTGTCAACTGTGGTAAGTTGTATATGATGAGTTGCTTCGACACCGTAGTGATTAATGCTAAATAACTGCTATCTGATGAAATGGTAATGTCACAAATGTGATCATCATGGGTATTCAGTTTTTCTGGGACATCTAAATAACTATGTTTAGTGAAGTTGTAATAGTCGACATGTAAGCCCCTTGCAACAGCTAAATTATTTTGGCTTGCTGATAAACAAGTCATCGCACTGGTAAAACTGCTCTATTTAACGAACGAGGTACGTAATTAAAGAAATACACCAAATTTTAAATGCTGAGAAAGTTCACTTTTTAGGTTATGTTTTTTTTTTTTTTTTTAATTTATTCTGGCCATTAGGGTATGTTAATGTAGCAGTGTTGCCAGTACCTGCGTCGTGTTTCGGACGATTCGAAATCTGAAAAGTGACGACTTTTAGTCAAAAAGGACGGCCCTGCAGAAATATTAAACCAAAAGCAGAACTATATTTATCTTACGTGCTGTGTTGTGACGCGATCTGCTTCATACATTAAGTACGGTTAGAACTAAGAAGGTATAGCCTGTGTGTCGCGATGTGTCGACAGCGTTCTTATCTAACCATAATTTTATGAAACAGATGGCTCTCTGATGCATTACAACACAACACGAAAGGTAAGTGTAGTTCTAACATAATGCGGTTAAATGAAAAAAAGTGCAACTTCTATAGCTCCAATGATATGAAAATTATGAACTTAACCTAAAGATTTGTTGATAGAAAAAAACCACCAATCCATACTGAGTCCGTTATCACCCACCAATCTGAGCTGGACCCGTTATCACCCTCCAATCCGCATTGGGTCCATTATCACCCACCAATCCGCGCTGGGTCCGTTATCACCCACCAATCCGCGCTGGGTCCGTTATCACCCACCAAGCACTAGATTCTTATATTTTGTGACGGGTATTGTTCATTGTTTACCGATGAATCACCGATGACACTAATCGTAACGTGAAATCGTAACACATTCGCCAGTTTATTCCCCAAGTCAAGCGTGCCTAAAAAAGTTTCACTTTGGATTCGGTGTAGTTTACTGGGTGATTTGACGAACAAAGTTGTGAGTGTACAACGAATTGTGATGGCAATTTAGTGAAATAAATCAATGAGTGAAACGAAACGCATTTGTCTAATGTTGTAGTGAAGAGTTATCGAAAAGGGACGGAATATCTAAAAGGACATCGATGGGACGTTTTGATGACAAAAGGGACGAAATCGTCCCTTTTGGGACGTTCTGGCACCACTGTAATGTAGTTACACAAGGTTACAATACCTTCCGGTGCAACTCGCGCTTATTTAAAAAGTCAAGTTTGACAACAGGTTGTACCCACAGACTACTTCGAGATACTATGTAAGTTGTGCATGAAGTGTAGGTTTACGACCTATGCCAGACGGATGTAATCCAGCGTACCAACCAAGGTGACCTTGCTCTTTGCCATCCATCTAGAGTCTAGATGAAGGATGTAATACGTAGTATCTAAATAGTCTGTGGATGTAATCCAAATTTTGATTTGACCTTCAACGTCCTTAGATTACGGGCGCGTGATTACATCCGCGGTTGGAGCGAGTGGATTGCAACAGTTTGGCCGGCGGATTACATCCAACCAAAGATTTAAGATAGTTGCGCTGTGGCAGTCAGCGGGTGCGCACGTATTGTAAAAAATATCGTCTGAAAACCAGAGTCGCGAACTTGATGTTACTAGCGAATTAAGTGATCTCTATAGAGATCTCCCATGCTTATGGGACATTCCTTCCGAATCATATTATAAAGATGCTCGTCAAAAAAAATGTGTGGGAGATATTACTCGAAAAGTATAGGGAGTGGGATATAAGTTTGAATGGCTGAGATTCATTCACTGTTGTAACCAACGCTTCATCCACATTCTCATTTTTGTTGTTTTTCGTCGTCTATTGCACACAAAAATGTTAAGGCAAAGCCCACATTTTGAAATTTAGACAAATTTGGAGCCATTTCTACAACACGGTTACTAATACAGTCCGCGCATGATACAAGTGCATATAATGCGATTCAACTAAGAATAGGACCGACTGGGTGCCATATTCTGATGTCATAGCTATCAATTGAAACCAAATAGGTAGAGTGAGCAAAAAAAGTTTTTATTTAATAAAACTTATTTACTAACATTAAGTGAGAAAAAGCATCAGATTTTTTAATAACATTTAATTACTAATATTGAAAAAAAAACACTGATTTTTAATAATATTTATTAATTAAGACTGTGAGAAAAAACATTAATCAGAATCTAGCTCTTCTATTCCGCTCATTTCTGCATTACCGCCGGAGTAGTTATGAATAATCATGCACTATTACTAGGTCACATACGAACATGCATCCTTTATGTAAACGAAAGTTTGAAATCGAGTTTCTGAACGCAACTTAAAGTGACATTTGGTTGACGATTTAGGTTATCAACCATTCATGGCCAAAGCTCAAAAAAAAAAAATATCAACCGCCATTAATTATCAATATTTGTTATTGTTTGTTTACAAATGTTTGGTTTTTATTCTTGAATTAGCGGAGTGCTAAAAAAAGGTTCCAAGATTTTTTTTGCAAACCGTACTTTTCAAGCGACATTTGACAGATAGAGGTTATTGGCTTTCCTATTCTTATTTGAATCGCATTATACGTGTTTTCACGGCTCGCGACCAGTGTTTCCACTTTAATGAGTTCCTTTCCCCAAGCCTCAATTCAGATTTCCCCTCCTTAGGACATTTTTCCCCTCAAAAAATATTTTGCTGTAGTTCGGCTTCGGCAGAAGGCTCGCTCGTTTTTTTATATAAAATTATTCATTAGCAAGTGGCAAGTTTATTTATGTATTTGTTGATGCATCAAAGCATCAAATATATTTTATTCAACAGGTGACTATAGCAGTAATAATGATTCTGTTCAACTTTATTACATTATTAAGAAATCCTTATTTCAAATCTATTAAAGTTTTAAACACGATTTAATATTAATTAAAGATAAATAAAAGAATAAAATATTATTTAATTTTTTTTAAGCATTTAACTGCTAGTTAAAATCTAAAGAAAAGTTTTACTAGAAAAAAATCCACGCGAGGGGTGCGGGTTCGAGTTCCGTTTGCTGCCTGGTCCCGAATCCCCCTGGTTAATCATTAGTAACCACTGCTAGCTAGGTTGCTAGCTAGACTGCTAGCTAGGCTGCTGGCTAAGCAACTAGCTTGGCTGCCAGCTGGGCAACTAGCTAGGTAGCTAGCTAGGCTGCCAGCTGGGCAACTAGCTAGGCTGTTAGCTAGGCTACTAGCTGGGCAACTAGCTAGGCTGTTAGCTAAGCTGCTAGCTAGGCTATTAGCTAGGCTGCTAGCTAGGCTGCTAGCTAGGCTACCAGCTGGGCAACTAGCTAGGCTGCTAGCTGGGCTACTAGCTTAACAACTAGCTAGCTTAGCCATGAATGGTTAGTAGCCTAGCTAGCAGCCTAGCTAACAGCCTAGCTAGTTGCCCTGCTGGCAGCCTAGCTAGCTACCTAGTTAGTTGCCCAGCTAGCAGCCAAGCTAGCAGCCTAGCTAGTAGCCTAGCAACTAGCTAGGCTACTAGCTTAGCAACTAGCTAGGCTGCTAGCTAGGCTGCTAGCTTGGCTGCTAGCTGGGCAACTAACTAGGTAGCTAGCTAGGCTGCCAGCAGGGCAACTAGCTAGGCTGTTAGCTAGGCTGCTAGCTAGGCTACTAACCATTCATGGCTAAAGCTCAATAAGTGAAAAAAAAATATCAACCGCCATTAATTATCAATATTTGTTATTGTTTGTTTACAAATGTTTGGTTTTTATTCTTGAATTAGCGGAGTGCTAAAAAAAGGTTCCAATATTTTTTTTGCAAACCGTACTTTTCAAGCGACATTTGACAGATAGAGGTTATTGGCTTTCCTATTCTTATTTGAATCGCATTATACGTGTTTTCACGGCTCGCGACCAGTGTTTCCACTTTAATGATTTCCTTTCCCCAAGCCTCAATTCAGATTTCTCCTTCTTAGGACATTTTTCCCCTCAAAAAATATTTTGCTGTAGTTCGGCTTCGGCAGAAGGCTCGCTCGTTTTTTTATATAAAATTATTCATTAGCAAGTGGCAAGTTTATTTATGTATTTGTTGATGCATCAAAGCATCAAATATATTTTATTCAACAGGTGACTATAGCAGTAATAATGATTCTGTTCAACTTCATTACATTATTAAGAAATCCTTATTTCAAATCTATTAAATTTTTAAACACGATTTCATATTAATTAAAGATAAATAAAAGAATAAAATAATATTTACTTTTTTTTTTAAGCATTTAACTGCTAGTTAAAATCTAAAGAAAAGTTTTACTAGAAAAAAATCCACGCGAGGGGTGCGGGTTCGAGTTCCGTTTGCTGCCTGGTCCCGAATCCCCCTGGTTAATAGGCAACTAGCTAGGCTACCAGCTGGGCAACTAGCTAGGCTGCTAGCTAGGCTACTAGCTTAGCAACTAGCTAGGCTACTAGCTTAGCAACTAGCTAGGCTACTAGCTTAGCTTAGCCAGGCTGCTTGCTAAGCTACCAGCTTAGCAACAGGCTGCTAGCTAGGCTGCTTGCTTGGCTGCTAGCTAGGCTGCTAGCTACGCTGCTAGCTAGGCTGCTAGCTAGGCTGCTAGCTAGGCTGCTAGCTAGGCTACTAGCTAGGCAACTAGCTAGGCTGTTAGCTAAGCTGCTAGCTAGGTTGTTAGCTAGGCTGCTAGCTAGGCTACTAGATAGACTGCTAGCTAAGCAACTAGCTAGGCTACCAGCTGGGCAACTAGCTAGGCTGCTAGCTAGGCTACTAGCTTAGCTACTAGCTAGGCAACTAGCTAGGCTACTAGCTTAGCACTAGCTAGGCAACTAGCTAGGCTACTAGCTTAGCAACTAGCTAGGCTGCTAGCTAGGCTGCTAGCTTGGCTGCTAGCTGGGCAACTAACTAGGTAGCTAGCTAGGCTGTTAGCTAAGCTGCTAGCTAGGCTGCTAGCTAGGCTACTAGATAGACTAATCAACTAGTTAGGCTACAAGCTTAGCTAGGCTGCTAGCTAGGCTACAAGCTTAGCTAGGCTACTAGCTAGGCTGCTAGCTAGGCTACCAGCTTAGCAACAGGCTGCTAGCTAGGCTGCTTGCTTGGCTGCTAGCTAGGCTGATAGCTAGGCTGCTAGCTAGGCTGCTAGCTAGGCTACTAGCTAGGCTACTAGCTAGACTGCTAGCTAAGCAACTAGCTCGGCAACTAGCTAGGCTACCAGCTGGGCAACTAGCTAGGCTGCTAGCTAGGCTACTATCTTAGCAACTAGCTAGGCTACTAGCTTAGCAACTAGCTAGGCTACTAGCTTAGCAACTA